GGAATGTTCCCCCTTCTTTTACACTTCTTGACCTTTGACCTTTGACCCCCAGCTTCGACATCCCAACTCGTTTTCGGATTACCCCCCCACGTCCCGACTTTCGAATCCGTACGTCGAGCCGTTTAGATTTGTGCCCGACTGTTGACGCACGGACGAACGGACGGACGGACAGACGCACGCTCATGTGATTCTACAAGCTGCATCTGACTATGTCAGATGAGCTAAAAAACAGTGTGCGCAGCCATCTCGGAATGTAGGAACATTGACCTACGGGAGACACAAGGACGGCTGTGCGTGAGCGGGCCACTGTCTACACACATGCTCGACCTGAGACAGTAGCAGTGTGAATGGGTTGAGCTCCGATTACTGAACAACGTAACTCAACCATGTCGCGTGACCTTCATTCGGAATCGAACGACCCCACCGTGTCTCACTGCGAGCAGCTTGCCGTCACGGCCAGCGGTCATTCCTCATCCAGCGGTCACAGCTGACCACCCTAGGCATATTAACAGTTAGGGTTACACCCGCTCATAGAACCAAACAACTCAGGTTTTAGAAGGTAAACAGTTTATAGATTAGAAATTGCACAGGTAACACCCAATAATCTCCACTTGTATTTTTACTGCTACATTTTCCCCTCCATCATTTGTTACTTCGTTTTTTAGAGTATATAGTATAAAGTCTATTTAGACTAAGCATTCTAAATTGGTTTTGCTCGCTTTCACATATTTATGTTTCATCGCTTGTATAGGTAAAACATGTACGCCCTTTAAAATATAAATTCTGTGCCTGTCAAATACCATGAATTTTCCCTTATCAAAAGACCATTCTTCTAAGAAAAGAAAAATCAACTCGACATTTGCGATCAACTATGGCGTATGCAGAAATATTGTTCTTTCCAGAAAATTCTTCCAGACACACGCATGCACGCACGCCATACACACACACACACCTGGCAACAAATTCTAATACAACTGATCACTTCCTACTAGGGAGAGCTTACTAAGTGCTGGTGACACATGATTTATATTGGTGAATTTTCATATCTGTGAATGTAAAAGTGTTATATGGGCACTGCCAATACAGGGCTGATTTATGTACAGCGAGCCGATCACACGAGTGATGCGGCCATACTTACAATCAAATTGTCCTTCTGAGGTAGTCAGGCGCAACCAGGCATGCAAAAACAACCATAGTCATACAATTAGACATGCATTCATTCATGCTGGCATGCATATAACAATTAATATGTACAGAGAATGAAACTCCACAAAGTGTAGGTGTAGGAGAATGAATGGTTATAAACTTATATGGGGGGGGGGGCTGCACGGTGCCGCGAGTACGTGGCAGCGGGAAGGAATGCATAGTACAACGGGGAGGTGCACGGTGAAGGAAACACATGGTAGATGTAATCAAGAGCGTATAAAGAAGGAGAGCGTACAACGGAGAAATGCTGAAACCATGTTGCAGTATTAGTCGAATTAATAAACTTTCACCGTTTTATTTTGACGATTGTTTGCAGTATTATTGATCAGCTGGCCTACCTTGTTAATATAAAACAAACCGCATGTCCCTACGATGCCCCTACGCTGAGATAATGAGCGGTGAAAATCTGGTATTTTCCCCGAAAACCGACTCGAGATCACTTTTTACTGTGACTGTCTCTCGCTTAGAGATAACTTCGGGAAACCTCGCGTGTTTCCGTCAATAATTGACAAATGGAATGAATGACGTCTGTTATTGATTGCCATAGTGATGACCCCCACCTGTGCCCACCTCATGCTGGATGTAGTCAACTCTATAGTACTGACATGAGTCAGCCCTACCATGGCGCTACACAGCGGCGACCGGAAGCAATACACTGGGCACAAAGTGAGAGACAGTAACAGTAAAAAGTGATCTCGAGTCGGTTTTCGGCGAAAATACCAGATTTCCACCGCTCATTATCTCAGCGTAGCCTGGGCATCGTAGGGACATGCGGTTTGTTTTATATTAACAAGGTAGGACAGCTGATCAATAATAATCGTCAAAATAAAACGGGAAAAGTTTATTAATTCGATTAATACTGCAACATGGTTTCAGCATTTCACCGTTGTACGCTCTCCTTCTTTATACGCTCTTTATGTAATCAACGGTTGATTGATACATGGTGGAGGGAATGGGTGTTGGGATCGAACAATGGAGGGAATACACTGTGCGGAAAATGCCTAATATAGTGCAATAAATGGTTAAATGGAAACGAATGGTAGAGAAGGCATGAGTGGCAGGGGAGATACATGGCGAAGGGAATGAATGGTGGTGGGGATACAACGAAGAGATAAGTAAATGGTTAAGGGGGAAATGAATGGTAGAGAAAGAATAAAATGTGGAGCATCTGGTGGAGTGGAATGCATGGTCAGAGTGAATGAGTCCTGGGGATGAATAAATGGTGTCAGGAGGAATAATACATTGTGTAAATAATGTTGTATGTGATAAATATAGAAAGAGAGAATAAGGGAAAGGGAGGGAGGGAGTGAGAGAGAGAGCGAGGGGAGAGAGATGAAGTTTGGCTGGATTGTAGTCTTGCGAAGATTGTAGGAGAATACATACATAGTGTGGTGGCTCACACTCTCTGTACCTAATACTACTACTATATATATACTACGGAACGACTGGTAAACAACATAATTACGTGAGTGTTTGTTAAGTATATTTAAACAGCAAAACTGGGAAAATACTAATAATTAGCTACGTTATTTACGTTAACCATAACACTAACAGTATTTACAAACTAGCTAAGTGCTCTAGGACACGTGTCACAAAACAACGTAAACGAACTACGAATTCACGGCAATATGCAACATGCGCTCCATCTTTTTTTAGAGACGACTGGCTGAGGAAACTGTAACGCTCTGCCTTCTACACTAGTAACTTTCGCTAAGGCAAAAACTATACCCGATGAAAGGTAAAGAAGTGCATGCAGTAATCTACTTCCAGTAGACGCTGTCTCAACCATCCTGGAGCCGCGCTACCGAGACATAAATAGGAATAAAAACATGGTGCGATAATCCCCAGACGCGTTGAACTAGATCATGCAGACCCTCTCACAAACACCCTAAAAGTTACCCATAGGATTCATGCACCCAGTAATCCTTCCTATCATCTTGTCCCAGGACCCTTTTCCAATAATCTGCCCCCAACACCCTCATCCATCACCCTGCCTTGAGCAACCTGTTCCAAACACCCAGCCTACGCACCCTCTCCAATGACCTTCCAATGAATCCAATTACCTCTACCAACTTGTCCTTCATACCCTACCCTACCCTAACTCACTTTCCCACCACTCTGCTTCTAGCAATCTGGCCAAAACACTCCTAGGGGCCAACTTAACACACGTTGTGTGCTGTCATTACTAGCAGGCGACTGGTTACTATTATGAACTCTACTAGCCTAAGACGCTCTTCCACGTTCACTACAACCACGTGTACTGCATGCTATAGCTGCAAGAAAAGTGGCTGGGATAGAGAGCGAGAGAGTGACGCACGCACGCACGCACGCACGCACGCACGCACGCACGCACGCACGCACACAGAGGGGGAGAGAGTGGAGATAGAGAGCACGAGATAGAGGGTGGAGAGACAGAGCATGAGATAGAAGGGGGGGAAGAGATAGACAGAGAGATATAAGGGGCAGAGAGTAAGGGAGAGAGAGAGAGCAAAAGGGGGCGGAAGAGAGAGAGTGATTTCTCAATCCACCCACTGCCTGTATGAACCTCTGCCTCCCTGCCACCTTTCCTCACACCACTGTCTCTTTCATCACCTCTCTCCTACCTCGCCATCAATATTTTACACCTAGCTTGCTTGCAGTCACACCCACCAATCACACACATGCACGCACATACATATATACGGACGAACGCGCGCACACATCCACGCACGAACACACAGGTGGCTCGTACAGCGCGCGCATTACACCCTGATGACCAGCAGGTGAAAACACGCCAGTCTGGCGGTCACACCTTCCTGGCTATGAATTACAGTTTACACTAGGCAGGATGCCGGAGCGGACGCAGGATCTCAGCAACGCGTGCACGCAGCCAGCAGTGCGCACGTACTCCTGTCTAAAGTACTGCCACGCTGTTATCGCTGTTCAAAGATTTATAGTTAACGCTAGTTTGTACGTATCTTAGACAGTTACGGGCTGCGATAAAACGAAGGGCAGTATCGCGCACAAAGGAACCAACACATTGCTAACTATAATTTAGGGGTAACTTTTGGCTTTGTAGTAAGATAAGCCACAACGCTGATCATAACAATGGCGTTACCTTTACGAAATAATCCTAAGCCTGCTGTTTACCATGCCTGGGCCTATCTATATTAAGCAGTGTGCCAGCACCTCATAGGAAACTGTATACTACCGTTAGCGGGTGTGTTAATATATATGCACATTTATTATTCAGCACAGAGAATGCTTGAAATATTCCTCCAGAACAGAGGGACGCCGCAGTACGACCAGTCAGATATGGACAAAGCAGCGTATTTTTCTTAAAATGGATTATGTAAACCTATTTTCCAACACTTCCTTGCCCAACTCTCCTCCTTCCTCCCTCCCTCCCGCCCTCTCTTCCTCGCTCTCTATCTTTTTCGCACACGCTCTCTCTCACGCGCACGCGCATGCACACTTCCTGTTCTAACCTAGACACCGATAGGGGGCTGTTAACCTAGCCGCTGGTAGCACTTGACAGCAGCTTTTCTCAGAAGGAGAGCCGAGCCAAGGGTCGCAAACCAAGACCGGCTCCCCGTACCTCTACCCTGCAGCATCTCTCCTTGGAGGGGATTTCGCTCAGTACGGTGCGCGCGAACCGATCCGGTCGCTCTCAGGGTAGGAGACGGATTGGACGGTGCACACCACACGGCTGCACGGGTGGTAGGCATGCCAGCTATGCAAATTACCCCCGGAGATGACAATCGTGCGATACAACAAGTCAATAAATCATCGTAATTCTCGGGCAATTACGTACGGAGCGCAAGTAAAAAGAAAGGAGCGAGATATCTCCCTGTGTGCGCGCCCGCGCCATCCACGTAGTGGGAATGACTTGTCATACAGCTATTCACGACTGCCTATATATATAGAGCCAGGGGCAAAGAAAGAGGCAGCCGAGGAAGGCTGTCGAAACAAGTGGAACGGTAATGCAGGTGGACGACGTACACTGGCACACACAAGCGTTAGGGGCAGCTAGGATGACATAGTTACAGTAAACTGCCGACGGTAGGGGGAAGGGCAAGGTAGATGGCTAATTCACACAGTTACAGCCAGAAGCGGAGGCAATCAGAGAAAGGTGCTGTCAGATGGTAGGGTAACTGCTTACGGTTGTAAGTTGTAACCACAGGCACTTGGAACATTTCAACAATTATATTATAGTAAATAAACACGAAATGTATTTACTACCAGTCTTAATGTTTATGTATTCATTATGAACTAATAATTTTACGTAAATGCTGTTCACACGCTCTTCTGCAACATGGAATTTTACTGCACACACACACACCACTATGCACAAATTCTCTCACTTTCTGTGAGTTTTTGCACGGTGCACTGTCGTGAGTGTGGTGAAATTGTGTTTTGGAGAGAAGCGTACATAAACATTAAAGCTGCACTATGCGCATCCAAACGCTAATTTCTCCAGTACTAGACTAGCAAATACTTCATGTCATGCATAATCACACTACCTTATGGCAAAATAAACACTAGTTCCTCCCATTTCAGTGCGCGTTTGCTTAAAACCCACAAGAAACAGGTGCGAAATCTGGTAATCTGGCGCTAACGCTAAATTGTTTGCCAAACAATTTCGCCAAGAATCGGTTAGGTGACGTCACATGTTTTTATCTTTGCTACACCCGTACTGTACCGCTGTACCGCTCCACGGTTGCTTGGCAAAGCAACGAGAAAGTGTCAACAACATCGGAGAATTTGAACAACATTGGAAGTATTTTCAAATGCCTTTTATAAGACAACGCGCAGTGAAATGGGAGGAACTAGAGTTTATTTTGTCATAAGGTAGTGTGATTATGCATGACACGAAGTATTTGCTAGTCTAGTACTGGAGAAATTAGCGTTTGGATGCGCATAGTGCGGCTTTAAGACTTTAGTAGTAAATACAAATTGTGTAGCAATTTTAAGCATTAGCAAGATAACAGCCGAGTAAATGCAGTGTTTCCTGCTATCTTGAACTGCGCTATATAAATAGTCTCAGGAACGCAGATCTATGATGTGTTCAAGTAATGATAGTCGAGTTTACAAAAAAATGATATTTTGTGAAAAAAATGATAAAATGATAAACGCAGTTCATGTTTTTCTGAATACAAACCCAATGCTCCTGGTTGGACACTTTATTAACCTAATCACCTATTAAACTTACCCCTATCACTTTCCTGTGGTACTATTACATCCACCCACCCACTCACCCACCTTGTCAGCAGTGCTTCTAATCCCTCCCTCTTCTTAACAACTTGCCACACCATCACGTCACCATCCTACCCTACCCGTTCTCAGCACCCCCCTCCACCATAGCACCTACTAAGCACCCACATCCTACTCTACCTGCCCCCGTGCACCCTCATCTCACACAGCACTCTTCCTCTCCCCTCTCCACCTGCTGGTAGATGCCGCATCATCCAGCCAGCAGCATCGTCAGGCGAACGCGTCGTCTCATACCTTGAGGGGCTCCTGGAAGCTGGCGACATTCTTTGATCGATGCGACGCAGCAACATGCGCCAAGTACTGGATCACCTTCTTCGTGTTCTCCGTCTTCCCAGCACCCGACTCACCTCTGCAAACAGAACGTAACACACAGTGATAGACACGCTTGCGCAGCCTTTCCCCGTCCCTACGCCAGGCTCACCTTGCAAACAGAACGTAGACTAGAGCACAGTGTTGGTGACACAAGTTCTGAGTGACACACGCCCGCACAGCTTTTCCCGTCTCAGTGCCTTACATCCATGCTCCGTATACGTACATTTCTGCATTGTTGTGCTGGGTAACAAGCCCACAAATCGCGCTGGTAGTCAGATTTACGTATTGCCTTCCAATGCAGGCTGAAACATCTTGACGGTCGACAGCACTACCTTTTTAAAGCAAATTCTACCCAAGTAAACGTAGGAAATTCTGCAATAATAAAAGTTAAAATGTTGAATGAGCATCTCACTTTTACAATGCGATGCAGCACACCATAGGCCGTGTGAATCATCCAAGATCTCTAGAAATGTTTACCCTTTGCCTTTACGACTGGGTCTTGATTTAACTAATCATGCCGCGTGAAGAGTCTGGTCTACAACTAAGCTGATGTGGAAGGGTTTGCAGCGTTCAGGAGCATAGAAATGGTGGGTGGGAGGGTTCGGAGCGTTCAGGAGCATAGAAATGGTGGGTGGGAGGGCTCGCAGCGTTCAGGAGCATAGAAATGGTGGGTGGGAGCACTGTGAGGGCTCACAGCGTTACAGGAGCATAGAAATGGTGGGTGGGAGCACTGTGAGGGCTCACAGATTATTCGAACTTTCACAAACGGCAACATTAATAATTAGAGTGTGATAAACAAAAACATAAACATAAACATAAATATAACACAACATAACATAATATAATAAAACATAACATAACACAAACATAAATCAAAAACAACATCTGTATTGAACACATTCTATTAAAAAGTAACAACATCAGTTAAACCAATAATCTTGATTTAAGTTGATAATGTTGATCTTAATAATTATCTTGATGTTAATTTTGACAGCACGGCAGAATGAATGATGATGTATAGAACGCGGCGCGGTATTTTTATGATCGTTGCCAGCGCAGTCGGCGCGTGATTGGCGCGCAGTTGAGGCGCGGTGAGCGTTGCTAAGGCACAGTGCAAGCGTCGTTCGAACGCAACACGATCTGATTGGTCGCAATAATGACGCAGTCCGCGCAGTGCAAGCGTGATGCGGGCGTGGTGTTGAGCGTGGTGAAAGCTTGTTGAGCGCAATGAGATCGGGGTAAAGACGCACTTAGGTCGTAGTATAGACGTAGTTAGATCGTAGTATCGGCGCTGGGCCCGGCTGGGGCCCAATTGGCCACGCTCTCAACCACGCTCACCACGCTCGGGCAAATTTTTTAGGACGGGGCGATCGTGATGAGCGTAGCTCTGGTGTGACTGGGGCCTTACTGGCCAGTAAAATTTGGAGCTCGGACATCCGAGTAATCAATCATTAGATAGACCACCAAACGTTCCCGTTGCTGCGTGCAACACATGAGCATTATGTTACCACGGATTCATTGAGCCAGTCTATATGTATAGATACATCATCATAAGCTGCTAAGAATTTCTGAAGCGCAACCAGTGTAGACGCTCTCATTTCTATAGATCTGACAATAAATACACAAAATCCGCAACAAATAACAAATAGCTCAATCCGCATTATGGCGCTGTCACACCTCCGTATGAAAGCCAGCGTATACCGACGTATGAAAAATTTTGTGAATACGCTGGCGTACGTCGAATAAGTTATGGGTAAGCTTTGTATAAGTTAAGAGCACGCTGAAGCACGCTGAAGCACGCTGGTATACGTCGTAGTACGACGAAGGCAGTATGCCAGCGTATGCCTAGGGTCCCTGTATACAGAGAGTTGCGCCAACTCAGGATTTGACGCCATTTTGTTTCCAAATGGATCCTCACCGCTGCCGCTTAAGTACAGCGCTGTATGGATACGCTGTACAATGGTCCGTAGTAATTAATTAGACTAATCGTGCTTCAATAAAAGGCCGGGTCATACCAAAGACTTGAAAAATGGTACACACGACTTCTCTGCTTAGCATTCAGCAAAATAGAGATAGAGTGTGGTAAGTTAACTCGCAGTGCTACCAGTGGACTAACCCCCTACTGTAGCATTTACTGTGAAAGCAGCTGCGGGGCCTCAGGGTTACTGAAACGGAGATAGGCACCGCCCTATGCGCCATGTAGCTATGCGCTATGCGTATGAAGGCGCGGGAAGGATTTAAAATAATAATTTAATAATTAATTTGACTGGCGCAAACTTAATTAGCATTAAAAAATGTGTGCACAACTTTACGCAATATCAGCTACGATACTATCATACTAGTTAATAGATTAGCCCGTGAATACATGTTAAATTGAACTACAACTTGCAGAGCGTCTTGAACTAAGAAGAGAACTGCGAACACGCTCTACCCACATCACGAAAACATCATACGAACAGCACGTAATCAAATGAAAGTGAATTTCGCACCCTGTGCTAGCACTGACGCAAGCCACCTGCTGCCGGTTCGGCGGCGATCAGCTGCTACTGGTGGCCGTCTAAGGTTGGATGATCTCAGCCTATGCCAAGTAAAATCAATTGAAATCGTTCAAGTGAGTAGGATCAGTAGTCTCTTCTCTCGGCACGCGGCTGGATTTTGACAGTCACACAGTGGCAAGGGGTCCCCACTCCCCAGCACAGGATTCCTAACGAGACCAACGGCGTGCGACTTATAACAAATTGGTTGAGTCTGGACCAGAGATTTAGCAGGAAATGTCGACGTAGATATTAGGGGGGGGGGTGCGCATGATGATATTCACACATTCAACTGCAGACACTGGCGGTCTTGGTTTTTGAGTTGCATCGAATTTTTCTGATATTATTTTCTTACTACAGTATATATATGTACAAAAATCCGAATGCCAGAAATCCGGACCACCCGTGAATCCGGAGTTTTCTAAAACTCTCAAATTTAAAGTTTGGAGCATTCAGAAGCATAGAAATGGTGGGTGGGAGGGTTTGGAGCGTTCAGAAGCACAGAAATGGTGGGTGGGAGGGCTCGTAGCTTTCAAGAAAGTGAACTGAGCCTGGGAGGAGTTTGCAGATCTGGGAGAGTGGAAACAAAGATGGGATGGCTCGCTGGTTTCATGCTAAGTTTCAGCATCATCACTGGCGGTTACCTGTCCCAGATGGCTCCAAAGGCAAAGCAGCTGGTCCAAGAGTTAAAGTGGCCAGTTCTCGCTGTAAGGTGCTATACCTACTGTGAGCTCATCTATGTTGTAAAAATTCACTACAACTCATTTGTATTGCTACTTTCATAACATTTCTTCAGCAAATCTAAACAAAAGTACTTCTCTTATGAAAGTAGCACCACAGCAATGTTTACACATCCGGGACACAGCCGAGCAATCACAATTTTCATTAACAGTTCTTTTCTATGATAAAACAAGTTATAATTTATTATTCAATGTTTTTTCAGTACAAAATTGCGAAATTTGTTTAAATCATACGTTATCTACATTACTCATGCAATCAGCAAACGCCAAAACTCTCTCCATAAAGTTTTCAAAATGCTCTAAGTAGTACTTCGGAGCACATTACTGGCTAATGAGAACATTTCGTGATGTTCTCATACTGGAAGTATGCTCACAGACTCTATTGCGAGAACTGGCCACTTTTATAACGACTCAGAAATGTAGTTTTTATATATATCCTACTATTAGTATTATTAACGCTCTTAGTCGCGTATCCAATAAATTACCTCCAGTAAGTGTAAAGTTCAGACACAGGTGCAAATTATAACTAGAGTAAAAGTGCAAGAGTACTATCTTGCTCGCTCACTGCACATCACGGTTTGAGGCAGAGGCAAGGTGGGGGCAAACACCGCAAGCGAGAATCGGATTACCCAAGCAGCATTCACTAACAATAATATCCAGCCTGTCGGATTAAGATCGTGTCATATGTGCCAAGAGCATCAAGGAAAGCAGGCTGTGTTTTTAACAGTTCTACTGGAGCGTAAAGGGCTTAAGTAAGCGGCAATCTCGTTGACAGGCTTCCTTGTCAATAAAGACGGGAATGGATAACCACCTCCACACACACGCACGCATGCACGCACGCACGCGCGCGCATGTGCAGTGTGCACGCACATTATTATGCAGACAGACATACACAACACGCACGCACGCTAACCTGCTCACGCAGGCACACACGCCCAAACAGCACACCTGCTCACGCTCGCACCTGTATACGAACACACGCTATCATTCGGCAAAGTTTCACGAAGGTGACGCTGAACCGGATGGCAGTTGAGCATCGCTTGCCGCCGGCATCGCGGGCCGGTTGCAGCTCGCTAGTAACGATTTGTGACAGCGAAGGGTCAAGATTTCCTCAAAATAACAATCGGATGGGCCATGAGTCATTGGCTGACTCATATGCCACACTGAGTAACCTACAGTACTCTGTATTGCTGACTCTCCCTCGCCCTCTCTTTCTCCCTTAACCCCCCCCCTTCCTCTTTATCTGTGATACACTCAATCATCTCGTATATAATATTACAAGCACCAGCATGGAACTAATAACCAGCAGACAGTTACATACATGTAAACTTCCTGCGATCCTGCAGTAATCAATTACGCTACACTGAGAATGACCTCCCACTGATGAGTGAGTCAGCCTAGTATCCCTGGCAGCTTAGCATTACGTTTTACTTATAATACATGTACATGTATGCTCATTACTGCTCTAAATGTGTGACAACGTGGCAGTTATGGCAGAACTTTACCCGAAAACAAGGTAAGGATAAACAGTGACACCAACTATAGAGTACTGAAAAATGAATGAAAGCTCGAAAAACGATATACAAAAGTCTTTAAAAATATAGATGAAAGACAAACTTGAAAATGATCAATATTCATAGCGAATTTGATGAATCCATTAATTAACGAAGAAATCATGTGATGATGTGATGTACTTACGTGCACAGGATGGACTGGTCTTCTCTGTCTGCAAGAAACAAACAAAGACAAATTATAAATTATAATATAAATTAATCTTCATTCAACTGGCATTCATTTAGGCTGACAGTAGGATGTGTGAGATCAGCTCTAGTCTAAGCCACATGCAAAATGGAAGAAAGTGACGTTCGAACGTGATCAGCAATTATACATAAATTCTTAAAATTCAGAAGAGTGTACTGCTAGTGAATACTACTCGACATTTATATAAAACCGGCAGCAGGCATTGTATGGGCAGTCACCAATCATTAAAGCGAACAGAAGAACGAGAACAGAGAAGAGCGAATGAGAAGAGCGAACAGAGCCACAAATGTATGCAGTTCCGCATTGTAACAACACACTATTAAACATCAAAATTTCTTTCAATCAATGTATACAGTTGAACACCGTAACTTGTCGCCAATTAGTATTTAAAAGAGTACCTCCGACAACACTCTCCAATAGGGTTTCACACAAGTTGCTTTATAAACACGTGAAACAGTTCAACTAAGTAAATACTTAGTTGGGCTGATAGGGTCTATGTCCCCCAGGGTACTGCCGGAACGTACCCTGGGTACGGTCCGGTATACCGGAACGTACCCTGGTACTAAATACTACTATCTAATATGCCGGACCGTACCTCGCCTACTCCACTAACGAGTCTAGGGAGTCGCCTACGCCTACTCCCTAACCCTAACGGTAACCCTAATTCTAACCCTAACCCTAACCATATCAGCTAGATAGTTACCAGGGTACGTTCCGGTATACCGGACCGTACCCAGGGTACGTTCCGGCAGTACCCTGGGGGACATAGACCCTATGAGCCTTAGTTGGACTGTGTCACGTGTTATTATCGTGATATTGTGATGACAGGATTTGTTCTGTTGAAGTCTGTAAGCACAAATCTTTACACGTCTTTCTTTCAATCAAAAGAATCAATACTCGGGCATACATGAGAATATGATTTCACTGAAAGTCTGAAACTAAGTACTCTGTCAGACTGCATCAAACAAAAATGATATTTGATGAGAGCTGCCGATTTGTTCACAATTCAACACTGCCGTGATTGCAGTGATGTAGGGCAAGCACGCAACACGTACGCTACGTCTTTTTCTAAACACAATGTCTCTTGTACACGGTCACCCATCCTACATCCTCATCCAGAAGATGAATCACTGATTCGGCAGGAGCAGGAGCAGCAGCAGCAACGGCAGCAGCAAGAGGCAGCAGTCGCAGACACCCTGCCAGGACAGCAGCAAAGCTGGCAATCGCAGTAGTCACTGCTACAGTGGCTACTGATGTACAGTCATCGACGATCTGCCGACTCATGTGCGCTGCGACCTGTCAAACCAGTGAAGTCAGTCTCGCACCAGCTTGATTTACGGGATGCATCCCTGCCGTGTGCGTGCACGCCCCCCCCCCCGAATCGCGGATGCTTTTTTCGACTGAATGCAAAAAAGCTACCCCAACTGCACAGCAGCTAACACCCGTTGGGACATATGGCTCAAAATCTGACGGTCACCCTCGCCCAGGCTTTGTCTACCCGTCTCGCTCCACTAGGGCATGGAAAAAAGTATGCGGGCGAGTAAGTTGGCGGGCTGTGTAGTTGGCAGCGCCCCGATAGAAGCTAGCAGACTGGCTGTCACCTGCACCCGAAAGATTATCCGTCAGCTGGCCAGCCGTTGCTGAGCGGGATTCGGCGGTGATGCTATTGTTCTAACGAGACGAAGACGCAACTTTTAGTGTACAACGTGATACATGTATATATATCGAATGCTGTCAATTTCAATCCCTAACATTTGGGTGTCTCCCCACCGCCACTGTACGTAAATCTAACGATCGCAGTATGCCTACTGAGCTGTGTGCGGGTCTCTCAAGCTACCTCTGCATGCTGCGCCTCTGTAACTTCATCCGTACGAGCCCGCTGACCCGCTACCAACTCTGTCTACACTTCACTCCACCGGCTACTAACCGTATGTGTTTACACTTCCCTCCTAGTGGCACAGGAATTTGTTTTCGCTACTTCTCCTTTTACCTCAGACTCTCACTCACGCACGCACGTTCGAGAAACACCGGCGCAGTTCTCACAAGCTTCACCGACTCCAAAACTCCGCACTGGCCGTACAGGCGGCTTTAAAAATAGCTATATGACTAATAATCGTTGGTGGGTAATGCGGCGTAAAAAAATCCATGAGTTCGTGCACCGTGAGTCAAGTTAGTTCATCTCATCATGCATTATGCACTTTTTAATTTTAACAGAGGAAGATGTGAAATACATTCTTTATCAGGCGATATTGTGTGTGTGTGTGTGTGTGTGTGTGCGTGCGTGCGTGCGTGCGTGCGTGCGTGCGTGCGTGCGTGCGTGCGTGCGTGCATCTCATCTACCACATTCTCCGTCTTTTCCTACACTAAAACTCGGCCAGCACGCAGCAGATGTCTATCAGCTAATTATGCTATATAATAATGTAACCTTTCTGCCATCTCTGCTTGGAAACGAGAGAAACGCGCCCCAAGCACTCTCTCGCGCTCACGCACGCATTCGTCCATTTTTGGCCGCAGACACGAGTGATCACGCGGCAGGCCAGCCTTAACAGACTCCGCCGAAACCAAGCGGTCTCACAATATTGATCATGAGCTTCCAGGAGACGTAAAAACAGTGCAAACATTAAATGGAATGTGCATCGAAGGTGGATGACCCGACATCTACTGGTTAGAGCTATCGTGCGGGCTCGCGCGCGCGTGCGTACAGTCCTCGCGGCTCACAACCCGGAATGCGATTCTTGTTCTGACAGCTTGATTATGTTTACTAGAAAACTCGCTCCTCTTAAGTGCTGATTTGGGATGTGCGGGGTTTTACCGGGCCGTGCAGCTGTCACAGGCGATGAGAATGTATCGGGTAGCTACTAGCTAGGTAGGTGAGTGAGTGACTGCGCGCATCCATTCCGCCGGAGACGAGAGTCTTAACCTTCTTAGGTTGCGTGTGACAGCCACTATAGTGTTAGCAGTCATAAGCTTTCGACTACATCCCATCATATTATACCCAACAATCACCGCAGAGCAAACATGTGGTTATTTAAGCATCATGCAGGCTTGACATGGCAGAGACGGGGGCAGTGCATCGCGCGACTGGATTTTTTTTAAACAGAATACTCACAGACAGAGGGTACCCGCCTTCTGTTGGGAAGCCGTCTATCAAAAAACAAGTTGCTATCTGGGGCTTCCCTAGTTCACACATAGACTTCCGACACTATTTAACACCCTACGACTGGGAATGCACTAGCTTACTCATACACTGGCGATTCTTCAACATGTGTCCCGCTATCTGCGTTTTCACCAGCTTTGCCAGTGTCCAAAATATGTACAAATACGCGAATAGGCTGAACCGCTAGTCCCGAGCGCATATGTTGCCTCCGCCAAGTGCAACGAGTAGGGCGACTATGAATTTGACTGCTGCCAAATCTTCTACTCATCCATCGCAGCCATCAAAATCACCGCATGCCTAGCACACCGCCAACAGCTGATGCTTCCAGCCCTGGCTAATTCAGGGGCATGATCGATACAGTCCGGTGGTTTACAGCCTCCCGGGCTGCTTTCCAACCTCAGCAGCAAGGCCTATAGATCTATAGATCTATAGGCCTTGCTCGGCAGCACACATGTATGCGCAATCGTGCAAGCATCCACGCTCGGAGCGCTTCATTCATCATAAATAGTAGCATCATAAGTCTAAAATGTCATAACTACAAAAAGTTATGACATTTTAGACTTATGATCGCCATAAATCACAACTTTTTATCTCCTGACAACAGTATAGTACTGTGTGCATTTGTGTGGTGGTGGTGGTGGTGGATGCTGCTGCTGCTGCTGCTGCTGCTGCTCCAACCCACTTGTACAGATGAAGCCATGTAATATTGCAATTCCATAACAAAAAACATTAGCTTTCAATTTCATTGATAATGGATCTGCTTTTACAACCCGCACAATTCTTGGGGGTGCAGGGATGACTATGTAAATAGATATATGAACTAACGTGATGGACCAGCGGGCAACGGGGACACACATTGATCACAATCCCACTGAGAATACGGTTAGTAGTCAGGAGGCTTATGCACGTAACAGAGCCCAAATCTGCAAATTATGAAAGACATTTTTAAGGGTCAAATCTGGGTTCATATGTTCCTCAACTAAGAATTTTTTTATATCCATTTGGAAACAACATGTCGTTAGTGTTGTCAATCGGTTGTAATTTCGTAATCGATCATCGGTTGGACCCAAGTAACCGATGATCGGTTACAATCGGTTACTCGGGGTGTTGAATGCCTGCGTGTGCGTAACGTCGTGCGCATGTACGTGTGTGCTAACCCGACCAGGCTGTGTGACTGACGTCAATATACAGGTATTCTAACCCTAGCAACCTATGCTCGGTATTCTAACCCTAGCAATACCGTTTCTTGGAGCTACGTGTGTGCATGTATGTGGTTGTCTAGCCCTGTTTACTGTTTGTTTTGCACTGTTTACTACTGTGTATAATACGTAACATGTATGTTAATAAAAGATAACTTGTATAGTAGCGATGATATCTCTGATTCTCATCACTTTTCCAAGTTTTTTTTTTTTATGAAATCGATTATGGATTTTGATAACAAAGCGCTTGGTTCGAACCACTGTTCAACCGATGATCGAGTATAATCGATGATCGTGAGTCGTGACATCACTACATGTCGTCCAGCGACCACATGACCAATTTTTTCCGACTCGTCATGGCGCAACTCTCTGTATATAGGGACCCTACGTATGCCCATACGCCCTGCATACGCGGGCCATAAGTCGAAATACGTCGAGATAATGTCTAGCGTACCCAAAACTTACGAGTAACGTGCTTTGAACCTTTGTGTAACTTATATCGAACTTATCTCCAACGCATATTGATGTATGTAGACGTATTTGCCGTGTTCCAGACGACCACAGAACTTGCTGAACGTGTTTCTAACTTACAGCTACCGTATAATGGCG